TAAATGTCTTATTGAAAACACATCTTTATAATCTGAAGGAAGAGTCATAAACTCCCTGGAAAATATCCTTTGAAGTGGTGGAACAGTTCATGCAGCTTTACCTCTTTTGCCCTTACTCACAAGCAGGTATACAGAGTTTTACATCTTTTTACCCTGATTCCCTTTGCCTATACTGTCATCTAAATTAGCTGACACAGATAAGTTATAATAGAATTATAATCAAATTTTAATTCTAGGAGAGTTGGAATAAAATTGTAATCTTACTTTTAAATCATTTCTATCACTTTTACTGATGCAAAAAAATCAATTTAGTGAAATTGAAGCAATGGATACCTGGAATAAACTGTGTTAGAAACACAGGTTTTAGAGAAACCTGTTCTTTTTTATTCCAAAAGTGAGTTTCACCCTAAACATGATTTTTTTACCTATGCAATTAAAAAAAAATAAGACCCCCCCAAATTTGAAGCTAGCCATAATTTATAAGTAATAAAGATTTCCAAGTATGGTTAGATTGACTTTATAACTCCTAGTCTTATTTTTTAAATTTAAATGAAAAGGGATGATCATTTATTAGATAAATCCAAAATTTGCACATTCTCTACCTATGAGCTGACGCAGATAAGAAGTCATCCTGTGGGAAAATAAAAATGGTCATATTTTAGTCTGGTAACACAACTGAAGAAAGCCGTGTATGCTAATTAAAAATAAAATAAAAGCAAAAGCTGAAATAAACAAACACATGGGACTGCAGCCAATGCAATGTTCTGACAGAATTTATCTTGTGATGCAGCGTGATAGCTTGGCTTGCCCTGTGAAATCCTCTTAAGATGAAAATATATTCATTCAATTTGTATCTCAGTTTTGGACAGAGTTCAAGTCTCATCTGCCCAGCCGCCTTACGTTCTGGGAGAATTGATGAGATGAGTTCAAAATATTTATTCCAAAGCCATATACTTTTGTTCATGGTAAATAAAAGCTCAATGCTCCACTTTTTAGATGAATGGAAAAACTGCATGAATAAACAGTCAGAATTAGCACATAACACTATTGCTAACAAATGGAATACAAGATCTGACTTGCTTTAAAACATATACTAACCATTGTTTCTTTTGGATATTTTCAGTTATGAAATCATAAAATAATCTGAAAAACATAATAATCTAATGTAGACAACACTTGTAATTATCTTCTTGCTAAAAGTCCACTTTTTTTTTTTTTTGGTATAAAGGGATTTGACAGTGCTAGGTATTGAATTCTGGGCCTCTTGCTTGCTAGGCAGGTGCTCTACCACTTCAGCTACTCTACCAGTCATTTTTGCTTTGGTTATTTTTCAGACAGGTTCTCCCTTTAAGTCCAGGCTGGCCTGGACTAAGATCCTCCTATTTAAGCTTTCCTATAGCTGGGATAACAGGCATGCACCACCATGCCCAGTCATTGGTTGAAATGGGATCGCCAGAACTTTTTGCCTGGGCCATTCTAGAACTGCAATTAAGCTCCACCTCCCTAGTAGGTAGGATTTCAGATGTGAGCCACCAGGCCTGGCCTAAAAGTTTGTTTTTAAAAATAAAGGTAGAAGGGGCAGGGGAGAAGAGGGGAGAAATGACCCAAACATTGCATGCATATATGAATAAAAGAAAAAAAAATAAATAAAGGTAGAACACAAACACAAGATGGTATAATTCCTTTTAAAGCAAGCTGAAATCATATGTGTGTATGCATATGTGTGTGTGTATGTGTACAATTCACAAAACATTTTCATAGGAGTCAGTTTTCCTGGTAAGGCCTCTTACCAGACACACAGGAAGCAGCTTTTTGTATTGCACAGACCAATGTATCCCATTCCTGCAGCCCCAGAGGACCAAAGGAATGGGGAGCTTCTGATCCCTTCTGCTCCTCCCAAAGGAGGAAGCTGAGGCCCAGGCACTTTTTGTGACTTATCCAGTTGGATTTCTGAAGTGGCAGAGCTGGGCTTGGAGGAAATGCCCACCACAAAATCCTGCCTTCCTCCCCAGTAACTGTGATGAGCATATTGTATGCTGACTTGCCTCAAGACCTTTGGGAAAACACTCTGCTGATACAGGAAAGGCTGTTGAGTTGTTGACTATGTGATCATTTTTTGATCCTTAAGCTGAACTCAGCAATCAATTATCTCATCTATTATTGACTCCCCTGTTTGTCATTGGTCTCTTGCCACAGGATATAAAGCAATAGTAAACCTTCTTGAAAATGACTGGCATCACTGAGATTTTAAAAAAAAAAAGAACATAAAATTCCTTTGATTATTAATCTTTGAATATGTTCACATACCTGACTGTGCCCTGTGGATTTTCTAACTCAAGATCAAAGGGCTAAAGTGGAAGGCTGGAAATGAAGATGAACTTTTTGGGTACTTAGCCAAGCAGACTGAGGAGAACCAGCTTGTTTAGACACCATCATACCTTCAAAATGTACTTCATTTGATTTGTGGTAACATGATACATAGAACCTAAGAAGAACAACCAATAATAAAACCAGAAGGAAGGAAGCCTGAGGAACTGTGTCTGAGTACATACATAATCCTGGCTGTCATCTCCTCAGGGTCCTGCTGAGGCAACTGAAACAGTGAGAGCTCAAATAGAGTGTGTGTTGTGTGTGCTTTGTTGCAATTTCAGTAGAAGTTGGTGGAGTAAAGGAATCTTCAGGTAGTTTAAGCACAAAAATGAGTACCATTAAAAACCATGGCCTTGGGTCCTAATGGTGCTTATATAGGATCCACTGTTAGGGAGGTGGGGTAAGAAGGTGTATGAAAGAACCAAGACTTGCAGCTGGGAAGGAGAGCTGGAACTCCAGAATCTGCACCAAAGACCTCCACTCCTCGAAAGCCTGAGAAGAGCCAGCCTGGCAGCCCTCACACTCCAGGCAGACCTGCTTCTGCTCTCACTTGCACTCAGCTGACCCTGGTACATATGTCTACGGACATTGAGTACACTGTATGCAACAACGTAGTGTAATTTTATTTTTAAGTCTGGCTTCCTCAGAGTTACCCTTGGATCAGAATAGCTTATTTTTTAGCCAATGTTGATCAGAGGCTGTGCAGATCCACTGGTTCCAGAGAGGGTTATGATACTCGTGGATTCTGACACAGCTTGGAGAACATTTCTGAGAGTGCTGCCCCACATCCTGGCCTGGTGCTCAGCCTGATATGCTTATACACAGCTTCCCAGACTCCCATCCCAACTATGATCCTAGAAAGCTCCTTTTTGGTGGTCTTCTTTCCTTGTTCTTTCCATTACACTTCTAATTGCTTGGCCATTTTGCTTATTGCTGCATATCCTGGATCCACAACAATCCTTTTCATTTGTTCTTTATCAAGAAGACCTCCATTTGTTTTCACAGAACTCTTTGGTATTGAATACTCCATGTTCCTGTTCCAAAAACCCAGGCCTGTTAGGCAGAGCTGCAAGACTTCTGTGCGTCTATACAAGTGCTAAAGCTACAATGGGATGGTGGCCCAGTTTTCCCAGAGTGATACTCTGTACAAGCAGAAAGAGTGGGTAGCCCTTAGCCTTCATGGCTTCCCTCTCCTGGCATAGATTATCTATCCAGCCTATTTCTACCACCAAACCACTTTGATTATGATGATAATGTGAATACAACACAGCAGTTAGCATTTATAGATCACTTACTGAGTACTAGGCATCTGCCAGAGACTATCTCCTTTAATCTCACCTACAAATTAGTACTGAAGGTGAAGGTATTGGTCTACAGCCATATGACATGTGAGGGCAGGACACAGAATTACCACTGATTGTGGCACTGATTGTGACACAGAGAAAATCAGAGAGACATGTCTTTGGGGGAAATATCAAATGTTTTATATGACTCTTATTTTCACTTCCGAATTTAAAAGATGCCTTTTCATGCAACTATGAAATCTATGCTTATGATAAAGTCTTCAGCCCAGTTTTTGCTTTCTATAGAAAACCCGCAATTCTGTTTACCAGTTTGCTTAGGATAATATTTTACATCAGCTAAAGAACTACTAAATGTATGACACTTATTCACAGAATATAAATTCTTGCCTAATAAAGTAACAACAAAGAACTTGTTCAGTAAAAAACTGTTCCAAAATAATAATCAGGTTCTCTGTAGAGAGTGTGATGGCTAATTTTATGCATCAATCTAGACAGTTATGGTGCCCAGTTTTGTGTTAAGCACTAGTCTAGTTGTTATGAAGGTGGATTTTAAGTTGATTAACATTTGATCAGTAGAGTTTATGAAGAGATTCCCCTTTATAACATGGCTGGACCTCATCCAGTCAGTTGAAGGCCTGAGACTGAGGCTCCTGAGTGGGAAAGAATCCTGTCTCCACACTGTCTTCAGACTCAAGATTGCCCCGTCAGGTCCTACTGGAATTGCCAGGCTGCCTAGCCAACTTCTTCAGCTTCAAGCGACTACAATCCCAGTCTCTCTCTCCCTCTGTTTCTCTCTACACAATTAAAGCAGACTAAAGACAGAGAGAATGAAGAAGAAAATGTTGAGTCCGTAAAGTGGGTTGACTTCTCTAGCGCTTTTCTGTGCTCACCCCTTATGGCAAATCTCCATTCTGTAAGCGAAGGTACATCCAAAGCAAGGAAGTCCATGCTTCCTCCTTAGACTTTAATTTAAATATAAAAATTCAATAGTTTTCTATAACCAAAACCCTTCAACTTTCACTCTGAAAACAGCTTTCTGCTTCTTCCATTTTCTTATATTTCCATAATCTTAAATCCTATTTGAAAGAGAAGGTGCTAAATTATTCACAATAATTTGGTACTTAACAGAATTATATACATCATACAGAGTCACAAAAATAAAGCTCAAAATTCCTATGGATTAAAGCATACTATTATATATGGTTATATTTTATGACTGGAAATAAAACTTAAACTTTATAATTGGTTCCTTGAGATGAAATATACAAAGTACTTTAAAGCCAATTCTGAGAAGAAATAATATATTAAAGGAAAGCAATTTCTCACCATTTATGAGTCTCCGTCAGGGAAGTCTCTTCTGCCTCTTGATCAATTTTAGCTGAAAATGCAAAAAAAAAAAAAAGGATAGAAGTTAGATAAATAGTTACCCAGTCTCAATTCATGATCTAAAGAACATGAATTTTCTTTTAATTATTAATTCTAATATACTCCAACCAAAAGTTTACTATAAATCTGTGAATGTTGCTGATGTATAATTGAAAAGAATGCATTTAAATTTGATTATGTTGATGCTGTTTTTTTTGGTGGTACTGGGGTTTGAACTTGCTAGGCAGGCACTCTAATACTTGAGCCACTCCACCAGCCCCCCCTTTTTTGTTGTTTCTTTTTTTATTGTTTATTTTATTATTCATATGTGCATAAAGGCTTGGGTCATTTCTCCCCCCTGCCCCCACCCACTCCGCCCCCTCCCTCTCCCCCCCCACCCCCTCAATACCCAGCAGAAACTATTTTGCCCTTATTTCTAATTTTGTTGTAGAGAGAGAGTATAAGCAATAATAGGAAGGAACAAGGGTTTTTGCTGGTTGAGATAAGGATAGCTATACAGGGAGTTGACTCACATTAATTTCTTGTGCATGTGTGTTACCTTCTAGGTTAATTCTTCTTGATCTAACCTTTTCTCTAGTTCCCGGTCCCCTTTTCCTATTGGCCTCAGTTGCTTTTAAGGTATCTGCTTTAGTTTCTCTGTGTTGAGGGCAACAAACGCTAGCTAATTTTTTAGGTGTCTTACCTATCCTCACCCCTCCCTTGTGTGCTCTCGCTTTTATCATGTGCTCAAAGTCCAATCCCATTGTTGTGTTTGCCCTTGATCTAATGTCCACATATGAGGGAGAACATACGATTTTTGGTCTTTTGGGGCAGGCTAACCTCACTCAGAATGATGTTCTCCAATTCCATCCATTTTACCAGCGAATGATAACATTTCGTTCTTCTTCATGCACCAGCCCCCTTTTTGTGTTGGATATTTTTGAGATAGGGTTCCACGAACAATTTGCCCAAGCTGGTTTCAAGCCATGACCCTCCTGATCTCCGCCTCCTGAGTAGCTAAGATTATAAGCACGAGCCATGGTGCCCAGCAGGTTGACACTATGATACTTATACAGATAAGATTTTTATGTAATGAACTCAAATTTCCAGATTCTAAATAATTTCTTTGCATCAATCATAGCAACCTGAGAAAACACTCATTTCAATGTGACAGGATTTAAATGCCAATGATTAATTGAAAATAATTTGCTCAAGCAAAGGTACAAACACCAAGTCAAAAAAGTGAACAGGAATGATATGTAACCTTCTTCAGTTATGGTAAGAATTTGGAACGCTTTGCAATAGTGTTCTTTGTACCAGACTGTAAGTGACAAGACATTCTGAAAGGGGGGATATAATAGTGCACTCATTTTTTTTGGAGATCAAACCCAGAACCTCCCCACATGCTAGGCAAGTGCTCTACCATTGACCTGTGTCTCTACCCTATTTGTTCTAATTTTTTCTAAAAATAAAGAATGGTATTCTAACACAAACTCAAAAGATCAAATTTGGGAAGGAGATTAAATTAATACTTCAAATTGTTTAAAATCACATAAGAACTCCACCAGTAAGGTATGTATGTCAGTGACTTTTTTTTTTTTTTGGACAAGCAATATTCCAGTAATCTATGTGACTACTCCACACCTCCACACCTATCTACCCTCCCCTCTATAATACATATTTGACACAGAAATTCCAAAGATACTCTTATTTCATGCAATGCCCTCTTAATATTTTCAGTTTATTCTATTAGATTTTAAAACATTAGCTGTGACTTGATAAATTGGTGATTTCATGGCTGGTGACTTACAGTTTCAGAATCACTGAGCTATAGGACAAAAAAAAAAGCAAAAACATCCATGTATAAAAAATTGGAACTCATAAATGAAGAATGTGTTTTATAATTATTCCTCTTCAGGTCACACTTGTGACCATTTGGAGAAATTAGAAGTCAAAATGGAGCAGGGAAAATTGATTATAAAAGAATTAGAAAGGTGCACCAAATAAAACCCAGGTTCAGCTGGGATTTAGTCAAGCAGTTCTATCAGTACTTACACACAACAGTACAGCTTGGGCTGGTTAATGTTTTACAGCCTCAAGGCAGTGTTTTCTCAAAGGTCTGTAAAGTATCCCAGACTTGTAACCAAGTGTCATGCTGCCACCCTTTGCCAGGTCTGTCAGAATTTAACAGTGATCATTTGAGCTGGCAGTGGGAATTTTTGTTTTCTTTTCCTGTACTTTAGATTGTTTACATAAACTTACAGGTCAATTATTGACCAAATTTTAAAAAATAGAATAAATATTCCATGACTATACTATGAAAAGGCTCCAGTGTGACTATGCTGTCTTATAAAAATCTGTTCTGGGCTGCTGAGCATAGAAAATGATTTGTATCTAGCAACGGTTCTAGAGTCACATGAAAGTTTATTTAAGGGAAAACAAGAAAAGCACCACAGTGCAACATCTTCAGGAAGGACCTTTTATTTTCCTAGCAAAATACGAAGATTAGGATTGAAGGAAAGAATTTCTAAACTATTTTAGAAGATTTGAGTAAATGATTTATGAAACATGAAATGCACAAGAATGATATGTCAGAGATCTGTGTTCTATTCCTCATCCTGCCACCAAAGTTAGCTATGTGACCTTTGGCAAAGAGAACAACCTGTTAATATACACAAAATTCTTAGCATAGTGCTTCCAATAATTAGTACATACAAAATAACTATCTTTTGGACTGGAAGATCATAAAATTCTTTGACTGATATGTCTAACTAGGTCAATGGCTACATTGTATTGTTTCAACAATATATGTAAAGAAAACATAACTTGCAGCTTTTCAGATGGCTTCAGCCCAGCCCCTAAATCACAATAAGCGAAATAAAGTGAGTTTCACTAGTTCAGTGATTTCAGATGGCTTCAGCCCAGCCCCTAAATCACAATAAGCGAATTAAAGTGAGTTTCACTAGTTCAGTGATTTCCTTTGATGTACACAAAACAGCTGTTGCTTCAGTGCACAAGAAAGTTTGGCTAAAACAGAAACAAAAATAAGAACAGTTTAATCCAATGTGGCAGAAGACTGATTCTTAACAAAGGAATGAAGCATAAAAATAGACCATCTTACTAAACATAACAGCTATATTACAGTCAGAAAGCCAAATTAAAATAACAGGAAAAACTTAAAATTCTCTTCTGTCCACTGTTTTTTACATGATTTTGAAGATAGGGTATTTGTATATTGAAACTGTAATTAGCATTGATAAACAGTCAAATTAGAGATCAAAGAAAGCACATTAAAATCCACATTTCAACTCTTGATGTAGCATCAACAATTCAAAAAATCCAACAGATTCTACTTTGTACGTCAATCTTAGAAAATGGTTTTGAACTCTGTGTAATCCCAGAATTCTAGAGGTGGAGCTGGAGGAACTGAGTTTGAGGCATGGTGAGCCCCTGTCTCAAAAAAAACAGGAGCTAGGGAGGTAGGTCAGTGGCAGAATACTTGTTTAGAATGTGTGAGGTCCTAAATTCAATAACCAGCCAACGAAATTTTCTTTTGAATAGTTGTAGTAATCTTCCAGTTGTCATCAAATCACCTTAGCTCCATGTGCCACAGTCTCCCAAGTGACTTTGACCATCTTTGAAAGAGGTGTTGCTATGACTGCAAATTCACACCAGTGCCCAAGGACCATTCAGAACTCAGGTCTCTGGGAGAAACCACTTCTCATATATCTCACACCAGAAACTATACTTCCTTTGCAAGGTGAAGTTCTCATGACTCAGCTTCTCAATGTCAGACCCTGAGGCAGGCTAGGTTAGGGATAGTCTGGGACTCCTCCCCCTTTTGGTTCAAGGGCTTTTCTCCCTAGCCCATAGGTGAGAGGAGGTGATGATGTATTGTCTCCCCACCTCCAAGTTCAAGGTAGTATAAAAAATGACCTACCAAGAAACCCCAGGCTTCTTCGTCCCTACCCTCACTTGGTGGTATGGGTGACTCCCCTTACCTCAATAAAGCTATTTTACATCACCCCATCCACATGTTCTGTTTTGATTCTTCCATTTGGAACACAAGGACCAAGATCTTCTGAAAACATTGTTTGCTGATAACAGCCCCACTACGGCCAGTGTTTGGGTCCTGAATATATGATTTAGTCGGGCAAATTCGGGAGTGAATTCTAGTTCAGCCACTAGGTTGTGCATCACTTTGATGGCATGCTTTTCTCCATCGTGAGACTGGGTGATGCTTTCTTTTTCACTGAGTTGTTTCATGAGTCAATAAGATAATATGTAAATCACCTGGTGCACAGTGACGTCCTTCTTCTCATTTTCATATCACAATTACTTTGAGAAAAGGATAAGGATGCATTGTTTCCAAAATGTGAAAAGTCTTCCATGGCAGGAACACCACAGAATTTCTTTTTATACTTCTATACAGAATCCAGATGCAGAGTTAAATATACACTTCGGGGAATTAGGGTCCCTCTCTATCAATCCTGTGAAATTATAGCCCAAGACATTTAAAAACAAATCTTGGAATAACTCTATGAAACGTATTTAATATCTTTTTCTTTTTACTTCACTTCTGTGTGTGTGTGTGTGTCCTTGTTGTTTTTTGCGATGCAATCTTCTGTATTGCTCAGGCTGGCCCAAAACTCCTGGGCTCAAAATGACCCTATTAGCTAAGCCTCCTGAGTAGCTGGGAATAAGGCACCCAGGCCTGGCTTCATCACTATCTTAACAGACCTAAAATAAAGATTTCTCAATGCCCATGGTATAAGCAGATGCTAACAGTGCCTTAGATTATTTAAAACAGGTAGAGCAGGAAATATATTGTTATATGGCCGAAGGCAGTACTTTTGTTTAGTTTAGCAAGAACTTGCTGAAATATAAAAGATAAAAATTTGCAATGTTCCTTCTAAAACAGACATTTTTGTTCTAAGTATACTACGGTATTCATATCTTGATGCTTGGATTCAGTGCCAAGAAAAATGTCCTGAGATCAAGTATACTGAAGAC